TATCCTCATTAACTTTGAAAATTAGGACATATAAAAAATTCAACAATTTCATTAATTCTAAAGTGTGGGATTTAAAATTTTCTTAACTTTAAGAAATGACAATTTATTAGAGTTGTAAACAATGGCGAATTTGGAGCCCCCCAAAACCAAAATCTCTGGGAAATAATTTCTGTTTTACCCATCTCGCGCAGCAGCTCACACCTGCCTACTTTGCCTTTCCCGCACAAGCCTGCAACTGCTCTAATCTCTTTTGTTGGACCAAGTGGCAAAGCACCCCTTCAAGAGCCCAGGAACTAATCATTATACGATTACAAATTGAAAGTTGGTTTTTATTATTATTATTATTATTTTTTTTTTATAGTGGGTATGTTGTATGTTCTTTCTAACTTGAAGTAATAAGTGGTCTGATCAAAATTTGATGGCATACATGAAAGAATGACAAGAGACAAATCACAAACATAAAATTAAAAGATTCCGAGATTTATGTAAAAGTCTTTAGTAAAAGATAAAAACTATGTTCAAAGGAATAAAATTGATTATGTAAATGTTGGGTAATGTGGAGACCCAGTCCACCACAATTTAATTAGATTTGTAATTAAAAATCTCACAAAACGCTCACCTACCTTCCCACCTACCGCTCATCTACCTCCCACCTACCGCTCTCTTAGTTTCTACAAATATCCTCTTATGGCTTGTCATAAGCCAAGCAAGGTCAAGCTAAATCCTCTAAGAGAGTAAGAGAGTAAGAGAGGAAGAGAGGGAGATGAAATGAGAGAAGAAAATAGAGATTTTCTTGTAAACGTTGAGACGCTTAACGGTATAATTCCTTGAAGAAATAAAATCCTCTGTAGCTCCGTGGACATAGACAAATTTTTTGAACTACGTAAATTTATGTGTCGCTTTGGTGTTTTTCTGCGTGCAATTTTTCTTGCTCGATTTTTCGCTTTATTGTTGTTGTTTTTCATAACTGATATAAGAGCTTTGGTTTAGATCTAAGGAAGAAAGATGGGCAGAGACGAAGTGATTACATTGAGGATCGAGAAGTTCAATGACATATATTTTGTTATTGGATGATGCAGATAGAAGACTACCTTTATGGGAAGAAACTTCATCTTCCATTACTAGAAAAGCGACCGGAAAAGATGGACGAGGTGGAATGGAATCTGTTGGATCGACAGGTTCTGGGGGTTATTCGATTAAATCAGTTGAGATTGGTTGCCCACAACGTCATCAAGGAGAGGACTATTGCAGATCGCATGGCGATTTAACAGGTATATTTGAAAAGCCATCGACGAATAACAAGGTGCATCTGATGAAAAAATTATCCAACTTAAAGATGACGGAATGTATGTCTGTTGCTCTCAACACCTGAATGATTTCAATAATATCGCAAAATCAGTCGTTGTCTGTTGAAATTGATTTTGATGATGAGATATGTGCACTGATATCGTTGGCTTCATTGTCAAATAGCTAGGAAGCCATGAGGATGACAGTTAGCAGTTCTACAGGTGAATCTAAGCAAAAATATGATGATATTCTTGATTTGATTTTGGTTGAGGAGGTGCGCAGGAAGGATTCTGGCGAGGCCTCGCGTTCAAGTTCGGCGTTGAATGTTGATTCCAGAGGGAGATCACATGATAGGAACTCCAATAGAGGAAGATCAAAATCAAAGTCTAGTCAGCAGGCAACCTGTTGAAATTGTGGCAAGGCTGGCCACATAAAAAGGAACCGCAAGAATCCTAAGAAGAGTGAGAATGATGGTGTTAATGTTGTATTTGAAGAAATACAGGATGCACTATTGCTGGCAAATCACAGTTATGTTGATGACTGGATACTAAATTCAATGGCTTCCTTCCATACATCTTCCCGTCGGGCAAAATTATGTTGCGAGTAACTTTGACAAGGTATATCTGGCTAATAGAAAAGCTCTGGACGTGGTAGAGATAGGAGAAGTTTATATTGCACTCCCTAACATGGGCAAATGAACTTTACAAAAGGTCAAACACGTTCTTAAGTTGAAGAAAAACCTCATCTCTGTTGGGCAGCTCCATGAGGGTGTTCATTCGGTGGTGTTCTCAGATAACACCAAGAATGTTACAAAAGGAGCATTAGTATTGGCTCGGAGTAAGAAAACTGACAGACTATATATGACTATAAGTTTACTCAGACGAAGACACATGAGTTAGATGTGCATTATAGGAAAGCAGAAGAATGTCTATTTTCAGAAAAGTGGCAGAGCGCCAATGACATGAAAACCGGACCTTGTACAGACAAATAGTGGAGAACCACAGAGCTACGAAAAAATCTTGCAATATGAGAATTCGAGCAAGTGGGAGCTGACTAAGAAAGAGGAGATGTATTCTCTACCAGAGAATCAGACTTGGGAGTTAACAGAACTTCTACAAAGAAAGAAGACACTGCACAACAAGTGGGTATATCAGGTGAAGACTGTGCTTAGTGGCAATAAGAGGTACAAGGCTGGACATGTTGAAAAGGGCTTTCAGCAGGTGCAGGATAAAAACACGCAATGAGAGTTGTAAGCAAATACAGAAGTAACCCATAAAAGAGCTTGGCGGTACAAGGCTACGTTGACGGCGATATGTCAACTGAGGGTGTTATTCGTGAGAAGCTGAAGTTGTGCTCGACTTCAGCTGGTCTTCTGGCATGAAGACATAGCGTTGAGTTGCAGAGGTTGAGGATATCATATTTGAGGAAATGGGCGATACATCTCGTAGATGATATAGTCAGTAGGTGATGCAGTCGGTGTCCCAGTCTCCAAGTAAGAGAACTGTTGGGTAATGTGGAGACCCGCTTCACCACAATTTAATTAGTTTCCTAATTAAGAATCTCACCTACCGCTCATCTGTCTTTCCACTTACCGCTCACCTACCACATCCCACCCACCGCTCACCTGCATTCTCACCTAACCCTCACCTACCCATCCCACCCAACCCTCACCTACCTCCTACCTATCACTCTCCTAATTTCAATAAATAGCCTCTTATGGCTTGTCATAAGCCAAGAAAAAAAAGCCAAGCAAAACCAAGTCAAGTCCTCTAAGAGAGTAAGAGAGGAAGAGAGAGAGAGAGAGAGAGAGAGAAGAAAATAGAGATTTTCTTGTAAACGTCGAGGCGCTCGACTGTATAATTCTTCAAAGAAATAAAATCTTCTACAGCTCCGTAGACGTAGGCAAATTTGTCGAACCACATAAATCTGTGTCGCTCTGGTGTTTTTCTGCATACAATTTTTCTCGTTCGATTTTTCGTTTTATTGTCATCGTTTTTTACAATAGTAAATATATATATAAGAAAATTTCTCTCACAAGCTTTTCAAAAAAAATTCTTATAAATTACATTACAATCATATACCACATCATGAATTTTAAGTTTATAGCAAATGATGTTTAATTCTGGCAATACTAGTTCAAAGTTCAGACAAAAGGGGGTGAGAGAGTTTTTGAAAAATTTATTGTGTCCCTGTCTTAAAAATTTATAGCTTTGTCATTGGTTGTGAATTAACCAATGTACTTGGTGAACAACTCGAACTCAGCTGAATTAATACTCCATCATATTTGTTCAAATTAGTGAATGAATAAGTTTGAACATTTTTTTAAAATTTGAAGGTTAAATGAATCTAATTTGAACATAATCTAACATATTTATTAATGTTCACAACAAACTCTTTTATCGTTCAATATGTAATTTGTTAAATGCTCTACACTTATATGTTATATTATTTAAATAAAATTTGATTAATTAGAATTTATTTAATTATATATTTACATGTAAAGTATTATAATTTAATAGCAATATACATCTAAATTTAATGCAAATTATTTTTATTTTTTTTATTTCAATGATTTAGTTTTTTAATACTTATTTATGATATTTGATTATTACTTACAACTTTTATATTATTTTATTTATTTGGTATAAACTAGTTATATGTAAATATAAAATTTATTTAATTACTTAATAGTTTTATAAAAAACAAGTATTCATTGAAAAATTAACTTATTTATTATTTTTATTTAAAAAATCAAATATATATTTAAATTACAATTTTATATAAAAATAAGTATTCATTTGAATTTCTGTTCAAGTCAAATAAAAATTAGATATGAACGTTAAAAAAATTAAGTCAAATTTAAAAATATATACGGAAGTTCGTTCTAAAAAAATTGAACATGAATAATTTATGATTTGACTGAAACCAAATCCAATTAATGACATGCATCATTTGGTGGCCATCAGTTCATATTTTGTTGAAATACACCCAAATTTTATTTATTTATGAATCTCACATAAAAAACTTTAATTTTTACAAATAAGTTAAAATTCACATTTTTCATGCATAGTAAAGGTGTTCTCTTTGTAAAAATAAAAATTTTAATTTGAGATACATAAATGGATAAAAATTGGGTATAATTAAAAAAAAAAATCTAATGACGGGCTTTCAGGCCAAATCGATCATACAAGAGAATAGATCTATTTTCTTTTCTAAAATTCGAAATAAATATTAAATTAATAGTCATCGTCATATTTATTTTGAATTTCGTCAATAATTGGCTTCCTACCTTTAACCAGGAGCAAACCTACCCATTCCCCGCCATGAAACTCCGAGCATCAGTCAAATCAACTTGGTTTTGCAAGATTTTGCAGCTTGCTTAATTATTTCACAAGCAGCTTTCACTGAAAGGAAGCTCACTTCAAAAGATTCTGAGAGTTAAAAATAACATCTTGTCAATGTTCGTGCAGTAAAATCTCCTAAAAAAGGCCGCTTTGCCAAACCTGCACATCCTTTCTAACCCTAGAATATTCATAATTCTCCCTAAAAAGTTACACTTCTCTGAACAAATCTAGAAATAAAAATGACATTTTCCAATGCTATGGTTGGATGTCATCCATGGCCAATAATAGCTGCGAAAAGCAACCACATTTTTTAATAATCCAGCTAAAATAGAAGAAAATTTGAAACAAAAAAAAGGTTTTTAACCGTCTCCCTACTTGTTTAACTACATCATTTACACATAATAAAAATGGTTTTTAACTGTCTCCCTACTTGTTTAACTACATCATTTACACATAATTCCTCAAATGTGTCGCATCCTACTGCTCTCTGATTTCTGCAAGTGTTGTCGCAGAACACTAGACCCAGAATGGCTGTTGTCGGCTCTGTAGAGGACCCTGGAGGACCCAGACATAGCTAAGTTCTCCACTTTTTAGCCTTATAGAGAAAAAAAACTGTGCAGCTTCTTGTCTCAATCTTTTCTCTTCCACTGAGGCCATGTGGGAGAAACAGTAGAGGGCTCAGAAATGGAGAAGAGCTCGAGTTCTGCTGCTAATGGCTACGGTGACTCTCTCAATGGTCTCAAGTTTGGAAAGAAGATCTACTTTGAGGATGTGGGAGGCAGTGGAAGCTCATCCAAATCCATGGCTGCGGTTGGAAAGAAGGGGAAGGGAGTTGCAGCTGTAGGAGGAGGGCAGCAGAAGGCACCAAGATGTCAAGTTGAAGGCTGCAATTTGGATCTTACAGGGGCTAAGGCTTATTACTGCAGGCATAAGGTCTGTGGGATGCACTCAAAGTCTCCTAGGGTTATTGTTGCAGGGCTTGAGCAGAGATTTTGTCAGCAGTGCAGCAGGTAATTTTTTTTTTTTTTGACTCTGACTCACTTTTTTATTTCTGGCTTCTGGCTCATCATTCTGCCTCCTCTTTTTGATTTAGATTCTTTGCCGGGTTGGTAATAGCATTTTTGTTTCTCCACTTTTTAGTTTGTGTTTTTTGTGGTTTAAAATCTTTTTATGATGATATTTTGTTGATGATTTGTGATAGCAATGCTTGTTTTTCTTGTTTTGAAGGGCCCATTTTGATATTTTGGAGATTCTGATATTAATGTTGATTAGCTTTTTTTTTTATATATCACCCAAGAATTGAAAGGTATTCTCTTTTTCGTATGATCTCTGACATACTTTATGTGCTTCACTATATTCTGTAACTGAGTTCTGTTACTTTTCGTTTCTTTTTTTTTATTCTGGAAATGAGTTCTGTTGCATTGTATTCTTGATGAATACTTTTAAAAACTTTATATAGTAAATTAGCTAGACACCCACTAGTTGTCTGCTACTTTTTATATTGTGGGGGCGATATCTCTTTTAGGAATGTGCCTCATGCTGATTTGTATCTCTCTCTTTTTTTAATGAAGTAGCATCTGTTGTCTGAGCTTTCTCTATGGAGTCTGACTTTGATACTTATATTGATCTCTAGAAAACTTTGAATTTCACATTTTAACTATGATAGTAAACACAAATTTAATTTGCAGTAAGTCTGCTTTTTTGCTTTCTTTATTATGGTTTATTCACTTCTTATGCTAGTACTGAGGCCATGGCATGGTTATTTGGGTTGTGGATGAATGCTAGAAGTTTGAGTAAAAGGGAAGGAAATTAGGTTGTAGATTCATATCAACCCATAAATTATCAGAGTTTTATTCCTTTTTCTTTACTTCCCTTTAGGTTTAACAAAGCCTTGAGCCTGCCTTTCGTAATTTTGAATATCTAATTCGTACTCCTTTTGATTTATGTTTGCTTTTCTACTTCCCATTGCCTTGTTGGTAAGCGTTTTAAATGCTTGTGCTGTGGAGTATTTAAAATTGAGATTCTTGTTTTTAGGGTCTGCTTGGTTTGGGGTTTATTATGCTAACAAGAAAGAATCAAATTGATTTTTTGGGCTTAAGTTAGGGTCCATTTGGGGTGGTTGTAGTTCTAACTATTTGTTAAGTTAGTCTTGGAGCTGTAGTTGGAAAAGCAAATTTTAGAGAATTCTTATGATAAATATATAGATTTTTTCCCTTCTGAAAAAGTCGAACAATATTTTAACAGCTTTGATTATAGAAAGCCACTTCTCAGTATAGAAGCTGTAGTTGAAAAGACGAGTGCTGTTGTTTGGAAAGCAATGTTATAAAAAAGTTCCAACGTACAAACCCTTGGTCTATTGTTGAAGCTTGGTTTAATTGGCATCCTAGGTACAAGTAAATATCATGTTATCTCACTAATTCATCAGGCAAAATTAAAATTTTGCTTGTATTTAAAATACTTTCTAACAAAGCATGAATTTTATTGAATTGGGCATTTGAAAATTCTTGGTTTGATTTTTAAACATATTTTAAATAATCTATACTGTAAAAAATTTTAGATTATACATTGATCATAAAATTTTTTTTTTTAAGGAAATGCTGAAGTAAAATGTCCAACAAAAGTAGATGATGGGCATAAATTTTTACTTGGTTCTATCTTAACGGTCTTATATCCATGCCTAAGCACCTGACATTCTTAGGATTTCACTGCCTTCTGAGTTCTTTCATTTGCTTGTAAGCCGATGTAGAAAAAAAATTACCTTCCATTTTTTAAACTAAGCATAGGAGGACAGCTACTTTAGTTGTGAGCGAAGACTTATTTTTTAAGCTTCAGTCAACTATAATGGCTATATACATAACTCCCTAAAATGACATACTTTGCCTTTGGCATTTCAAAAGCGGTGAAATTTACTTTTTTGCTAGGTTGTATTTTCCTATTTCAATTGGATTAAATCAGGGATTAGCTTTAAGCCCATATATTTTTGTTTTAGTTATGGATGTTCTTATTGGAAATTTACAGCAGGATGTACCTTGGTGTATGTTCTTTGCTGATGATATCCTTCTTGTGGATAAGACTAGAGAGAATTTAAGGAAAAACTTGAATTATGGAGATATGCTTTAGATTCTAAAGGCCTTCATTTGAGTAGATCTAAAATCGAATATGTTTTTACTAGTAGTAGATCTGGTGACAGAGTTGTAACAATGTGTGATCAAATTATTATAAAGAGTGAACTTTTTAGATTTCTCAGGTCTGTTGTTCAAAGTGATGGTGATATAGATGAGGATGTTATTAATAGAATTCAAGTTGGATGGTTGAAGTGGAGGAATGCATCATACCTATTATATTATAGAAAAGTACCACTTCAAATTAAATAAATTTTATAAGATGGTGATGAGATTTGTAATGCTTTATGGCGCAGTATGTTGGCCTATAAAAGAGAAGCATGAAACTAAGTTAAGTGTTGTTGAGATGAGAATGCTTAGGTGGACGAGTGGCTCTACACTTAGAGATAAAATATAAAATAAATATATAACATTAAATGTTGACTAGCTGATGATTCAATTAGGAGAGTAGATGTTTTAGATTTGACTTGTGTTAAGAAAGGTAGAGGTAGACCTAAAAAGGCCTGTGCATGTTGTATAAAAATTGATCCTCACTATTAGAATTAAATGAAAGCACGATACTCAATAAGACACAATAGAGAAAAAGGATTCATGTAGTCGCCCCACTTAGTGGGATAAAGACTTGTTATTGTGGTTAGGTTGTGTGTTATGTTATAATCTCGAGAACTAACTAGTATTTGAAATTTTTTTTTTGGCCAATAAAAAGTTGACAGCGACTTTATATATGTTTAAAAATACAAGTATTTAATACTGTTGCTAGAAGATTTAATTCCTCAGCAACGACACCAAAAACATAATAATGGTTATAGATTCGATAAAGATGTATATATAAAATATTTAATAATGGTAAAGTCACACTTATTAACGCAAGTATACGTATCGCTCAAGTAATATAGGGCTCTAATGGAGTCTTAGATATCGATCCCACAGGGAGTAATATTAGAATTACGAACTAAGATTTTAAAAAATCAATACTTAATCACAACAATGTAATTCAACTTGCTCATCTGTCACTAATAGACAATTGAAATAAATATGTAAGTTTTTAATGTGATATTCAATATATAAGAAAGTATCATTCTCATTGTCAAGAAATTATAGCGAATGAATGAAGTAAATCAGTTCAAATTGTATTGTGTCAAATAGGAGCATACCTATTCTTTACCCTTTGGTCCAAACATAAAGAACTTTGACTAATCCTACGTTTTTTTACTGAATCTGCGGCTAGGTTGGGATAACACCGACTCACACTTCGGAGCTCCCACGTTTCCCTCCCTTGAAGGCTAACATCTACACTTCAGTACCCAAACGATATGACCGATTGAGGATTTTAGTCTGTCACTCTAAAATCTCCAATTCTACGCCCGATAATTTTATTTCTCTATTTATTTGCACCCAACTTCCAAGGGCTTTGACCTCCCTGAATCTTGGATGTAATCTTCACTTTAGTTGTAAAATTCAATATATTTTAACAAATCAATTGGTCAGATCGAAAGTAAATTAAGATCGAAGTGAAAAGATAATCACAACTTCTTTAACATTTTCATGGCTCAACCAATTAAAATGATCATTTCACAAATCTCAAGACAAGGAGAAAGACAGAGAAAATTACTCAGAATTCATGGAGAAGACACAACAAAACTCGGAATTCATATATAAAAACAAAGTTATACAAGCTACAACAAGTAAATAATACTTATCTCTAATTCCTCCTCAAACTCCTTGAAGTTCCTCTGAATCTCTTCATTTCTTTACATCACACAGAATTCTTCTTCGAAGCGGCAAGGAGGAAGAAATCTCTCATTTTTCCTCCACTCTTACAATCTCTCGAAGAATTCCTCACAATCTAACCCTAAAGTAAACTCTCTACACTCTCCAAACAATTGCAACTCTCCCGTAAACCTCTCAATTTTCGGCCAAAATATTTCTTTAAAGATGTAGAAGCATTTTTCCAAGAGTTGTTTAAGCATCCCTCCAATAATCGTCCACATTCAATGCACATTTGTAAATAACCACCGATCTCGCCGTCGGCGGCCTCGAGGACGCCGTCGGCGGACCGGACCTTCTAAATTAATTGATCTGGAGTCCTTAGAAAATCTCGCCGTCGGCGCCTTAGTTCAATTCTTCACATTTTGGTCATTTTCGCTCTAAATTCGCTCCTTTTTGCATCTTTTTGCTCCAATGACTATAATTCATCATACATGCAACAAAATCAAAAATATCTTTCTTTAAAGTACAATATCATCAAAAACAGTGTAAAATACGTATGAAAATCTCAACATATTTTTCTTTGATCAAAATCCCCCAAACTTAACTATTACTTGTCCTCAAGTAATTTTAGTATTATATAAAAGTTATGATTTATTGTAGTAAAGTTTTAATTCAAAAATACTGTAAATTTGATTTAAATAAATACTATAGTGAGATTTTCAAAAAAAATTCAAGTAATTAAATCAACTATGTAGCTACAAGATTATCTAGTCATCAAGTTTAAGAGTTTTAATTTTCTATTCATTTCAAGAAATGACTATATGTTGTAATATTAAGTCACTTAAAATATTCAAATGATAGGAACTTCATGAGAACACTGCTAGTAAAAGATCTAATCCATAAATATGAGTTCATGAATGTATTTAAGTTTTCCCTTTAGGTAGGTCCAGTGAAGTCAATTTTTTATTAGGCATCTCCTCAAGCTTCTCCTCACTTTCATATTTTTTTTCCTTTTCTCTTTTTCATTTGGATTGCTTTCAATCTTATATATTTTTTTTTTCTTTTCAGAGATTGTTGTCAATCCTTTCTTTTTCCTTTTTCAAGTGAGGATTAGTATATCTGGATAGTCTTTAATGATTTTGAACATCACATTTCTTTCCATAAATTTCAATCTTAAA